CTCCAAAGCAGTTGCAATCCCTCCCAGTTTGGTATCATCAGCAAACTTAATTAGCATACTTTCTATGCCAATATCTAAGTCATTAATGAAGATATTGAACAGAGCCGGTCCCAAAACAGACCCCTGCGGAACCCCACTCGTTATACCTTTCCAGCAGGATTGGGAGCCATTAATAACTACTCTCTGAGTATGGTTATCCAGCCAGTTATGCACCCACCTTATAGTAGCCCCATCTAAGTTGTATTTGCCTTGTTTATTGATAAGAATATCGTGTGAGACAGTATCAAATGCCTTACTAAAGTCTAGGTATACCACATCCACTGCTTCTCCCTTATCCACAAGAGTTGTGATCTAGTGGATATAGTGTACCTGGATTGTCAGAAAGTCTTTGACAAGGCCTCTCACCAAAGACTCTTAAGCAAAGTAAGCAGTCATGGGATAAGAGGAAAAATCCTCTCATGGATCAGTAACTGGGTAAAAGACAGGAAACAAAGGGTCGGAATAAATGGTCAGTTTTCAGAATGGAGCGAGGCAAGTAGTGGTGTCCCCCAGTGATCTGTATATAAATGATTTGGAAAAAGGAGCAAACAGTGAGGTGGCAAAGTTTGTAAATGATACAAAATTACTCAAGATAGTTAAGTCTAAAGCAGACTGTGAAGAGTTACAAAAAAATCTCACAAAACTGGATGACTAGGCAACAAAATGGCAGATGAAAATCAATGTTGATAATTGCAAAGTAATGCACACTGAAAAACATAATCCGAACTCCACATACAAAATGATGGGGACTAAATTAGCTATTACCCCTTAAGAAACTGATCTTGGAATCATTATGGATAGTTCTCTGGAAACATCTGCTCAATAGGCAGCGGCAGTCAAAAAAAATTAACAAATGTTAGGAGACATTAGGAAAGAAATACATAATAAGAGAATAAATATCCTAACACCACTATATAAATCCATGGTACATCCACACCTAAAATACTGCATGCAGTTCCAGTTGCCACATCTCAAAATAGATACATTAGAAATGGACAAGGTACTGACAAGGGCAACAAAAATTATTAAGGGCTTCCATATAAGGAGAAATTAAAAAGACTGGGATCATTAAGCTTGGTAAAGAGATGAATAAGGGGTGATATGACAGAGGTCTATAAAATCAGGAATGGTGTGGAGAAAATGAATAAGGAAGTTTTATTTACCCCTTCACATTACACAAGAATCAGGGGTCATGCAATGAAATTAATAGGCAGCAGGTTTAAAACAAACAAAAGGTTCTTCACACAATGCACAGTCAACCTGTGGAACTCATTGCCAGGGGATGTTGTGAAGGCCAGAAGTATAACTGGATTAAAAAAAGTACTAGATAAGTTCATGGAGGATAGGTCCACCCAGGGCTATTAGCCAACATGGTCAGGGATGCAATCCCACATTTTTGGTTATCCCTAAGCCTCTGATTGCCAGATGCTGGGAATGGACAGCAGGGAATGGATCAATTGATAACTGCACTTGTTCATTCTCTTTGAAGCATGTGGCATTGGCTACTGTTGGAAGACAGGATACTGGGCTAGCTGGACCATTGGCCTGACCCAGTATGACCATTCATATGTTCTTAGGTTCCCCCATCACTAGATTTATATGGAGTATGACCACATGGAGGCTCATTTTCAGAATGCTTTTGCATGTAGTTTGCCTATACTGAGGCCACTTTCCCATGTGCTTTAAATGTGCAGTAGCTTGGCAGTGATAATGCTGGGCTTTCCATACTTTCCCTGGTATACACAGTGTATGGGTCATAAGAATCGGTAATGTTTTTGGCATGCTGATGGGAAACAAGCTGTCTAATCTGCTGCTACACTTTAAATAGCCAACCATAACCATAAATCATCCAATTTTAAACTTACTTTCCTCACTTCAGCTGCCCAAAATTTGGGTGTAAAGTTGCATCTTTTCTTGACTGGCAGGAGCAGGGTCTTGTGCGGATTTCCTGTTCCATTTGTGGAGATTAATAGAAACAGTATGCATTGCAAACTGTATTTTTTAATGCTCCCATCACTGTAGGATTTGAGTCAATAGCCATTGCTGTGCCCTACCAAATGGTTTATCCAATATGTGTGTATATATTATAACTGTGTGTGTGACTTTGTGTATTTCTCCATTCTTTCTTGCCTTCTTTCCACAAGACAAATCTACCAAAGATAGCTGCCAGGATAAATGCATGTGAAAATGTGGAGTCTCATACTCAGTATAAACTTCAGAAGATGATCTATGAAAAATGTTGGGTTACAAAATTTTGTGGAAAACAGAACCTGATGTGAATTGATGAAAATCTTGGTGCAAAAGTTCATGCAAAAAAATTCACCATTTTCAAAAATCCATACCATTTACACAGGTGAAATTCCAAACTGCACATCAAAAAGAAATCTTTCAGAAAACAAATCAGGTAATGACATGGTTAATTGCTCATTTTATTTTATTTGGACATGCAAATACAGCTTCTCTCATGCACAAATAGATGCTCCCACAAATAGTGCAAGTAATGTTAAAGGGTTGGAAATAAAATTGGACCTACATCGTGTAACTTTCATTTAGCATTAGGACTGGTGGTGGGTTACAAAATAGAAGCAGTAAATTAAAAACATTGTAAATGCTGATAGCAAGAGCTACCTTTGGCAAGTAATGTCCATATGTTTATTAGCATGGGACAGGAAGATAACCTTCCAGAAAGAAATATTGAGCAGAGATGGTTAATACATTTTCTGCAGAGCAGATTTACTCAAATTCAGAGTAGCATCATTTCATATTCTGCTGAAATTATTAGGATGTGGCAATGCACACTAGTTAATGTGAGCAACAAAGTACAGGGGAAAAGCTAATAATAAAAGAGAAACATACTTTAGGGTTGGTGAAGAGGGGCAGATGATGGGACCAAATACCTATTTGGGTAGCCAATCAGAAATGAAAGCAGATTAACAGAATTGGACTAAACCAGGGGTCTCAAACTCCCGGCCCGTGGGCCATTCGTGGCCCATGAGCCTCTCCAGTGTGGCCCGTGGGGCTCCAGCAGGTTTGGGGCCTGGTCTCTCCCTTCACCTTACCTGCCGCACCTGGTTGCTCACCCCTCAGGGGACCCGGCAGCGTAGCAGAGCTGAGCGGCATCTGCCTGTTCGCTCCAGTGGCTGCCAGCCCCTCCCTGCGACCCAGGGGCAGGGCAGGGCTGTGCCTCCACACGCTGCCCCTGCCCTGAGTGCCCCTGCAGCCAATGGGATGCTGCGGGGGCAGTTTCTGCGGGAAGAAGCGCGCGGAGGTCCCCTGGCCCTCCCCCAACCAGGTAAGTGTCGCACCCCTGACCCCCTCCCAGAGCCTGCACCCCCACTCCTCCTGCCCCCTCTTGCCCCCAAACTCCCTCCCAGAGCCTGCACCTCAATCCCCTACCTCAGACCTCCTTCCCCACCCAAACTCCGTCCCAGAGTCTTAGGCAGGTGGGGGAGGCAGAGTTTTTTTGGGGGTGGAGTTTTTGGGGGGCAGATTCTGGGTGGCATGAGTGACACTGGCCAGCTGGGACGATTTGAGGACTGGCACTGACCCTAAGGTAAATTGAGTTTGAGACCCTGGACTAGACAGTAAACAATATACATTATACCCAAACCGGGAGATACAATGGTTCACCGCTTACCCAGATTAGATTCAGGTAGTTTGGCATTTCCTCAGATATAGATATAATGTTTAACAGTTCAAATATTTTCTGTTTTCCCAATACTGCAGTTTACCACTCGACATGATCATCTTATTAGCAAGAAGGCAACCCCAGAATTGAACATACCTAACGAAAGCAGCAAAGACAGAAGAGCAGGGCCTTTGACTCAGTTCAAAAAACTTATATTTCTGATAATATAAGATATTGTAAATACACAATTCACCCTGAGATTCTTCTAGCTCAAGACTCTTCAGTCATTCTAACTAAATCCTTAAAATATCTTGTACCTCTTTTATAGATTTTGGTTTAGATGATGCTTAGCCCTAGCTACTTCTATAGTAATTCACCCATTCCGCTCATACACACTTGCTAAAAATTGTCATTACACTAAGTCCAATTTTCCAACTTTTCATGATCATGTAGGCAATAAAATGCCCCCTTGGGCCCTAAAATGTAAAGGAAACACCCAAATGTCCAGCAGGTGGCCACATTTGAAAACTGGGCTCTCTAACTCTAAACCCTTCAAGTGTGTGTGTGTGTGTGTGTGTGTGTGTGTGTGTGTGTGTGTGTGTGTGTGTGTATCTACTACTACACA